ATCAAAGCATTAGAAAAATAACAAAAATGTATATGGTAAAATAAAATGAAAGAATATCATCAACTTATACATCACGCTAGTATCTGAATATTTCTTTGCCCGCCATTTTTGCCAGTAATATCTAAAGTTCACTGTAACTGAAAAAAATATAGTGTAAGAAAGATACAATTCAACTTCTCTTTTTCATTTCCAGTTTGTTACTTCGTATATTTGGCAGCATTTTCTGCATTGTCAGTTTGGTTTTACTCTTTCTCCTATGCTGTCAGTCAATTTCCTCTGTTTGTGTAAGTCTTTTAGATGTAGTAGAATAAGAACTGGCTATGTTATTGTTGCACTAGCTGAAGACTCACTGATATCAGTCATGCAAAAGCAGCTATATTAGTGGAAATAATTCCTAACAGGTTATGGTACTATATGCCTTGTGTGTGTTAGAACTCTACTATAAGTTTCTTAGGCCAAGGAGCATGGCTATTGTACAGCTACTATAATTGTGATCTAGTAGCATGGCCCATCATGGTCTTACTGAGTTAGAAATAGAGATGTAGCCATGTTAGTCTGGTCTTGCTGAAACAAAAGACTGGACTATGCAGCACTTTAAAGACTAAAGTGCTGCATAGTCTTGTCTTTTGTTACTGAATTAGATTGATTTCATTAAGTGTCTGCTCAAGCATAGAAGGCTTCTCTATGGCCAGGTAGACACTAGACCTTGAAAGTTGGATTAAGGTATGCAACTTCAGTTACATAGAATACATAGCTGGAGCCAGCTTACCTTAGACTGAGAGTGGTGGTGTCCATGCAATGGAAAGCTGATGGGAACAAACACTCCTGTTGGCTACCTTACTCCTCGTGACTGTGAGGAGTACAGGCGCTGGCTGGAGTGACCCTCATCATTTGATTTATGAGTCTATACTAGACCCATTAAATCCAATGCCAGAATGTCAATCTCTGGTGCAGCGAGTGCCTATCTAAGCCTAGTGCAGGATTAAGTACTATATTTACACAGCCCAGAGCATGATATTGGTACATAATAAATAGTAATTGACAAGGCTCGCCAAGCGGCAGCAAGCCCTGCTTGCCAGCCACGTGGTTTCACATGGTTCTGCATTCTGCGCATGCTCAGGTTGTTCTACGCATGCGCAGATCGCTCTGCACTGGCTCTTCCAGGTTGTAATCTACTCGCGAGTAGAGTAGATTACATTATTTGTTGAGGCCTGGTCATTGACATTCAAACTCATAGCTATGAACTCAGAAAATCAGAGTTTGTATGAAAATGCAAGGAAGCATTTTGAGCACACCACTGTGGTAATGCAGATCCTTGTCTGTCAGGGTGGGAATTTCTACATTGCAGTACTAGAGCTGTCCAGTAGGTAGTTCACCTAGGACCCCCATAACTCAGAGCAGCTTCTTGGGATGCTTGAGTTATTTAGGTTATAATTGATTAAGTTATAATTGTGCCAGCCCCTGACCATGCCAGAATTGAGAAGGCTCAAAAGTAGCCTCTTAGAAGCACAACACGTAATCTCACTCCAGTCAATAGGCATGGCTGTATAAATTAAGGATGTTAACAAACAAATAATTTACTAGTCCAGTAGTCAATGGAATTTCCATCGACTAGTCAATAGGCACTTTCGCATTCCTCCTTTGAAATGTACAAGAGGAGCC